CTTCCAGAGCTAAAAAAAAATATGTTCTGTGGAGCAGCAAGTTTTTCACTCTTTAAATGGAATTAGGAAAGTCACAGGATAAGATCTTTGAGTATGAACAGAAAAAAAAAGAAATTTAAGTAAAGAACAGATGAAAATTGGAACTGCTTTTGCTTCCATAAAAAGAAAAGGAAAAAAAACCATGATTCAAATTCCCATATCCTCATCCAGGTTCTTCCAAAGCCTTGCTCAGGCACAGTCCCAGGGAAGTCAATCTCTGGATTAATTGTATAAAAAGATACAAGATGGTGCATACTGGCAAGTCTATTCAATCAGTCGGTTTGCAAATTGGGTTTGCAAAAACAGAAAACTTTCTCTACCTCCCCAAAGCAGAAGGGCTACGCAGCCTTCTCTTTCTCACGCCAAATCATTCAACAGCAGCTTTCTTGAACACGATCGGATAAAAACTTAGTTGCACTCACCAGTTTTGTTTCAGGATTTGTTTTAAAAACAGAGGGAGAAATGCCAGAAAACGCTACAGAAAAGCCAGATCCTGCATAAAGTGGAGTTGAGGGCTGTCCTGCCCAAACGCCAGAAAATGTAACACAATGGATCTGAGAGATGTCTGACATTACAATGAATAAGGCTGTGCATGATTTCCATTACAGTAAGTGCGTGCTGCTTTGTACGCATCATCCCATGAAAGTGATGAGTTAAAACAGATATCTGAAGTTTATGTTTCATAGCAAATATTCTGCGTCTGCTGGGCGTCAGATATCAGAGCGCTGAGTTAATATTCCGTGTTTAGGTGCCTGCCTTGATTCCCGAGTGACACAGGGGAACACATTCAGGGGCTCATTAAGTTTCCAGCCATTCCTAAACAGCAACAGGTGCTTGAGAAAACGTTCCCCAGCATGTCACAGACAGCTTCATCGCTGTCTTGGAAATAACTGACTGCGCTTGTGTTTCCTCCATGGCACCAACTGACAACGAGGAGAGAATGAAAAAGAACAGGAAGAACTCCCAAAACATCCGCATGTGCAGGGTGAACGGGTCTAGAAAAGTAAGTCATGAAAGACCCTGCTGCATATTCTGAATTCAGACATGACACTTGCATGTCCATCCAATGCTGCTGCTCATTCAGACTCCAGTATCCCATTCAACCACACACTAACAGGTTCCAAGGAACATTGATTAATTAATTGAAACGGCATTATAAGAAGCTGAAACCTTCCCAGTGGTTAGTATTTATTAATCCTTTAAGTAGTTTGGCTACATGTTCAAGCATGCTGGACTAGCTGCCTTGGGAAGTTTTCTTCAACCATGAGAAGAAAGATGAGATGCAGCTGGAAAGATACGGTCCACTGCCTGGCACAGCATTTATGTTTTCACAGGCTGGTGTAGCATTTGTAGAGTGCTATGTATGTGCACAGTTACCTAAAACATTTCAAAATACAGCCTGCCACTGTGGAGAAATTCATTCACAAGATGGCAAATATGTAGTTCAACTAGCAGATTTAAAGGAGACTTCAATTATTTACACAGCAGTTGAAGGGTAAATATTTAAGACCAGAAGAACTATATCCAAGAGTTTTCTATTTGTAGAATATCCCTGTATCTTGACCTTCTTTCTTTATATGGAAGTACTAGAAGATACTAAAGGAAATTCTTTCAAAATCAGGCAACATGGAGTCTTTTCTTGCCCCTCTCTTCTCATCTACTTGAAGATGCCTGTATGCATCAGTCCATCAACATCCAACAATTTCAAAGCTGTTTAGAACGTAAGAGCCCATAAACATGATCCTTAGACAATTAGTTTGTTCATTTGAAATCTCCTGTGTGATTTGAGTTACTGTAAATCAAACGGATATGAACTTTGGCTATTTATTTAACTAATTTCCAGAAAATATATTGCCCCCATTACTTGACTACTTGGCTGGTTGAACACAGGGTTAAGCTAAATCCATTCATCTACAGGAACTAATGCATTTCAGACACCTTTGCCTCCTGGGCCTAACTTTTCAAACCTGCTTGGGAAATGTGTTTTATCAATAACTGAGGGTAAAAGCCAGAAAACAAATAGAATGTGTTCATTTCTAGAACATCATAGGAAGACACAAATTTAGAGAACATTCCGCAATTCCAATTATATAAGACTAAGGAACATCAAAAAGTGTACTGAGAACACTAAAGCTTTTTAACTACAAGGGACCTCAACAGAAAATTTTGTAGAAGACTTTTGAGTGTACATATGCATGCCTGCGTAATGTAAGAGAAATTGAAGAGAACAATACTACAGAAAAAAAGATTAGTATCAAAATAATACCAACAATACAAGAATACTCAGCTTTTTCTACTGGGAAAGAGATTAAATGGCCAGTGCCTTGTAGTGAACCCCAACACTTTCTCCTATGTGCCCCTGTGGTGTTTCGCTTGAGCTGCCAGATGTCCATCTCACCAAGGTTGGGAGTAGCCTGCAAAATCCCTGCTGACAGCTACTGTGCTGGCACCCAAACGCAGAGAACTCTGTAACCCATTTCAGTGTTAGGAAAAACTTCCCTTATGGAAACTTCTTATATGTTGTAACAAGTTCCTATACGTTGTAATGACACTTTGTGAGGTTTGTGCTACGTCTGTTGCATTATGACACCACTGCGTGTCACTATAAAAATAGAGTAACAAAGACGTATCTTAGAGAGTTTTATAAACTCCTGATGGGGACAGATCCCAGAAGCCCTGAAAAAAAACAACGTAACAAACAACAAGGAACAATTGAAAAATGAAAAAAAATATTCATTGCTCCAACTAAGATTCCTTTCAACTTTGTGCAGTAACACCATGATAGCACCAACAGATTGCAAGTCCAGACAACTGGCTTTCCTCCACGCTTACGTTTCTCATCCTGTCCCTGCTCCTTCAAAAGTAGCTTTCAATCAACAACAGTTGACTGGAAATCTGCTTCTCCATAAGAGATCACCGAGGTTGTTATTAGAAATTAATGAGATGGTTTTACCATGGTGGTACATACATCTTTGCTAAAGCAGAAGGGGAGAAAATGGCTAAACTACCACTTTTTCTTTGCTGGTAAGTGCCCACATTCCTAACTCCAGCCGTTCTCTGGTTTTTGCTACCACTTCCTATGCCACAGACATAGTCCCTGCAGCGGAAAAATCCAGCCTTCTTTTCTACAGATCCCTTATTTAAAGAGAGTTTTAAAAATGCCTTGAATCAAACAGCACCCATCCTGCAAGTCTGATGTGACCAGAGGTGCATTCTGCTCTCCTATGCACGTTCTGCTTAGCTTGCTTGTCACCACCTAGGGTACACCGAGCCACCTCAACGGAGGCAGGGACAAACCAGATGGAATTTCTTCACCGAACCACCACTAGTCTCCCTCTGGCCTATATTTTTAATACAAGCTAGCATTCTCCTAGACGATTAATATTTGATCAAATTATTCCATTTTATTCTGCAGGCATCTGTGTTGTTTTTCCACCGTATCCACTGAATTCTGAAAAAAAAATTCTGGGAAAAACTCCCACACTTCATCCATTTTTCATGTCACATCTTGTCTTTCAGGTGAATCTGAAAGCTGCCTGTCTGAGATATTCTTATGGCCAATAAATAAAGTTTAACAGCAATAGTTACAGAGACTCAAATTTAGACTTTTTTATTTACTTGCTGATAATATGCGTGGACGTGCATGGTTTGCATGAACATGGAATCCCCAAAGACCAGCTGGTTTTGGGGGTGTAACTCCAGCTGGTTTTGGCAAGTGCCTTCTGGACACTGCCACTGAACTCCAACTGAGCTACCTCTTTGCTCACCATTAAAGTAAACAGAATAGGGACTGCTGTCAAAGGTCTGTGTAAAAATACAGTTTCATCACACAAAGGACTCTGCTCCTACATGATCGTCACCAGTCCATATAGGGTTCACTCTTGCAGAAAATGAAAAAAAACCTCCCTGGGAACTGTATTTTCAGGTATTGCAACATGCAAACTTTAATATGGACATTCAATTCTTCCCCTCATTCACCAGTAACACAGAAGGGACATTATGCTTCAATGCTGTGGCAATTCACAGGTCCCTTCAGAATGTTACATTCCATGAGATAAATCCTGAATCCTAAAATGGACAATATTTTGGCCTCTGGCTCATCCCCCTTGTTATTAGAGAAATTATATAAACTCTCTCCCGGGGTATACAGAGGCCCATGCTGGAATGCAAAGAAACAGTTTCAAAGAGATTTTGTTTTCTGGAAGAACAGTCTTTGCCATGAGGGAGAAGCAACCACTCCACTCAGGGTGTGTGAATGCACTCACTTTGTGCAGAATTACAGAGTCACAGCTCAAACTGCGCAAGCGTCTGCAACTCCCAATGCAACCACTTAGGCTAGAACTAAACCAACCACATGTCTTTTGTATCAACTTACCTAAAGATCCCAGACAAACTGGAAGCCAGGGACTAAACCAGGTATTAGATCAGGGACTGGAGCTAATACTGAATAGAATCTTATTGAAGCATTTTGGCTTGTCAGTGGAAATCACCGCTGAGTAATGGAGCACAGAGTATTTTTGTCGACAGAGCCATTTCTCTACAGCCTGTGTATAATTAATGCAGTTCTCTGACTGGAGGCTTGGTAAATTCAGTAGACTATTGCTACTGGAAAGCACTCATCAAAGTGGAAAGCAAGTAAAACTTTGATGACAAGCCTCTTCCATTAAATAAAATTATAAAGAAAGCTACAGTATTTGATTAAAAGCAAGTAAAACTTTGATGACAAGCCTCTCCCATTAAATAAAATTACAAAGAAATCTACAGTATTTGATTATTTTTTTTTAAAACACTTTGCTTACTCATAGACACTTAACCAATTTTCCATATGAATCCCCAGTTCAATACCAGAGAGTAAGAGAAAGCCATAGCACAAGCACAGTAAGTCTGTTTTAGCCACATTCTTGCAGTCCCTCCCTCTTTGTGGTGTCCCCCCAGTACAAGAGAGTCTATGGTTTATTTACCTTTATCCCAGGGAGTCCAGGAAGCCCAGGAAGACCTGGTTCACCCTATACAGGAAAATTACATAATATTACAGACATTATTCAGTTATGGTCACTGCCCAGTGAACACCCCTGTATATTCTGCAGCAAGATAAAAGAGCACAGACGGCTACTTGTCAGTTCAAGCAGGACTCATATTTTCAAAATGAGTGACTTAATGTACAATTAGTAAGAGTCGTGTTAAGAACTTGAATATCTTCTGGGAACCTTGGATGTGAAGATGACACCTAGGTTGAAAATCCATGTCAGGAAAGCCAAACATGAACTCACATCAGCCTTCACCAAAAAGGGAAGAAAACAAGCAGCACTGGTTCATTTTACACGCTGCCATTTCAGTTCCATACTTACGACGGATGTTTGATTCTGTTCCATTTTCAACATTCAGCTAGATATTGTGCTGTGTAACTGTCTGATTCAGCTACAAAGCAATTCAGAAAAGCTTAGTATAAATTGTGCAATTCAAGTAGAACTGTCTAATTGTAACCGGGCCATCATTTTTATCGAGCTACCCGTAACATCATTTCAGTGCTTGCTATTTATCTGTGAATATACATGATGTCACGAAGGACAGTGGGAATGTAACCTTCTATTGCTTTACCCAAAAATGCCTTGCTACTTAAAACTGCAATGAAAAGACCTACAGTACTGCATTTGCAAGGATAATTTTGTAACAGGGAATTGAAAACTGAATGTATTAATTTTGAAATGAAGTTGACATTAGTCTAAGACACGAGTGACAACATTCACACAAACGGTCATTTTGAGATATCAGCTAAATGGAAAGACGTTGTCCAGGGAAATAAAGATAATGAATGGAAAAAAAACCCAGCAATAACATGTGAAGAAAACATTATTTTAAAGGCTGGAGATTTTATTTTAATAGAGAGATGGATTCTAACCAGCAGCTTGGATCTGAATATTCCCTGAACTTTCTGGAAGCTCAGGTTTGAACTCTGAAGCCAACTTTTACCTTTATAATGAGTTGAACTATATTCCAGATTTTGTACACTCCTGAGCTTTACAGAAATCCAGATTTCAACTCTGCGGTTTGGGCTGATTCATACAGATTGTGCTAGTAAAATATTTTATATGTGTGTGTATACACACACATTACATACATTCATACACTCACATACACACATATATAAATACACAAACACATGTATACGTAATACAGATGTTCATCAGACTACAGTACCCAAAGACACTTCTTTGAGGCAGTAATGTGTAACAGATTTGAAGTGCTAATAACAAAATTAATTCTGCCACAAACTTAAAGACACGATAGAGGGTTTGCAAATTGCTTTACCAAAGGGAGTGATTTCTAAATGTTATAGAAGGATCTGATAACAGCTTCTTTGTACATTTCAGTCACTTCAAAATTTTAACTATTCACATTGCCTAAAAGCACAGGAAAGATTCCAATCTCAAAATATTAACGATAAAATGAGATGAAAGAATAGAGGGTAGGATATAATTTTCAGTAGACAATATTATTTCTTGGTATGTTGCTTCACACTTTCTAAAGCAGAAAATGAGTTGTCACTCTTGCAAAAGAATAATCCTTTAAAAGGCCTCCACTGCATTAATTCCTGACAAAATGCTAGCTCCAAAATCCTACTCTCCTCTCTTTTGCTCTCCTACTTGAGGAGCCATACATATCACATTAGTACTGTGACCTTTTCTCATTTAATTGTGGAAGCACTAAATTTCACTTCTAAGCACAGCATTTGAATAATTATAACCATAGATCTATTAGTATTGCTGCAGTAGGTCACTGTTTAGTCTTGGGACAGAGCTCACCCTCATAAAGCCAACATGACAAGCAGAAAGGATGTAGCAAACCCAGTTCAGAGTCACAGTAATCTAAAACAATTAAAATGCCCCTCAAAGATACATTAAGCAATGTGAAACACAATGAAATCACTAATGCTTCATTAGCATTAGTACTGTAGATGAATGCATTACATTTTCTTTTCTGGACCTTTCCTGATACAAAAGATCTGAGTATGCTCTATAAGATGAATGATTTTTAAAGAAACCAAGGCTATATACTAATTCCAGCTCGTAATGCTCAGGTTGGCAGGGCAGGCCGTTCCATCACCTCTGCAATACACACAGCACACAACAGGCTGGTCAGGCCATTCAAATACCACTTCATGTAAATAATATTCAAGTGGGCAGCTCAACATTTACCTGTCCTTAGAAAGTGGATAAGGAATAACTGGAAGAAGAGGAAGTAGTAAAATACAAGGAAGGAAATAGGAATGGCACACAGTAGGGGGAAAAAATATTGAGATGATGTAGAGGGTAGAGACATTCCTCCAGTTGAAAAAAGGGTCCCCCACAACCTCTGGTTATGGGAATGGGTCTCTGCTAAGCAGGGAGAAGAACAGCAGATACGGGGCACCTGGCTAGAGGAGGCACCTTGAATGCACACATTATGGGAGCTGCTGGTTCAGGCTGGGGACATGAATATGGCACATTTGAAGCTTCTGATGTGAAGTGGAAAGAACACATTAAGCCCCCTTTGGTGCAAACAGGAAGCTGAAACTGCAGAAAGTCTGAACCAAGTACCTCTTGCTTGTCTGAGCTACCTAAAGGAGATCAAACCTGAGTGCCTGGGGACTAGGATCCACCCTGCTGATAAATCAGTGCTAGTTTTGCCTCCATGGCAGCCAGCTAATGAGAGTATGAATCTCAATGGGCTCTTAAGTGCATTTTCTAGTTTATTACCCAAGCAGAGCATTCGCTGCAGAACGTGCACACTGAATGATTCCGTGGATTAGATAGCTTTAAACCACTTTGATTACCTCTCCTAATTAAAACTGCATTTTACTGAAGAACTGTGTTTGCAACCGTAATAGTCTTTGTTTATGCAGTTATAATTGCTGACAGTTATAATTTCTGAAACAGAAAGACTGAACTTACTTTATTTTATATTTATATGTGTTTGGGGGTTTTGCTTAGTCACCTTAAATATTAGAAAATGGTTGTACTGTCATTTACTATATAGAATTTTAGCTCTTGGCTGCCTGTTTAGAATACCTGCTAACTCAACTGGCAGCTGGACTTTGCTCCATTCTGGCAGCAGTGGGTAATTTTCAATGTTGTAAGAGGCAAGAACAGTGTGGAAGGCTCCTGAGGGAAAGCAAATACTGCAAAGCAAAAATCTGGTTGCCTCATTGTCTCTTCTCTTTGCCCTTTCACCAGCTCTCCCAGCAGGACCTCCCTCCTGTTCTCATGAAAGGCAGCTGAAGGCACAGCGTTCACTGTGTTTGAAGCACTATGGATTCAAAGAGGAAATTCCCCAGCTTCAGAGGGCCTCATGCAACGCGGGCATTACAGCTCCTGCTGGACCTTTACTTGCAAAAGCAGCCTCAGCTACTCAGCTCCCAGAGGAATTTCTTCCCCTGGAAGGAAGAACAGGGCAGCATTTGCTGGTCTACGTCCTTCCAAATGTGCTGCGTGCCTCTGACAGTTTAATTCCCTTTACAGGTATATGTGAAAGGGTTTCTAGTCAATATTTATTATCTTCCTAATCAGATGTAATAAGGTACCATAGCCTGAAAGTTAATATTCAGTCATACATGCAGGGTTAACTTGTGATCACTCAAGGAGCAGAGCCGTTCTGTGTCAGTCTCACCAGCTGCCATTGGGTAAGCTTTCAATGCAAGAAGCGCGCTGGGGCTAGATGAGGAGGTGAGTTATTCTAATATTGCTTTTCATGCTAATTAGTAGCATCATTCCTGTGCTTTTTTAAAATACAAAATGATCATACACCAAACGCGTACAGGCTTTGGGCTGTTAAATTGGGATCATCCTCCTAGGGGTAAGTGCCACTGGTAACATCTGGGTACCATTATTTACCACAAATCCAACAGAGAGGAAAAGGAAAGCTGAACTTTTCCAACTAATACCTTTTGTCCAGGCCGTCCAGATTCACCGGGTTCGCCCTAAAAGAAAGGAGATGAACGACATGAGATCTGACAAAATGAATTAAAGCTGGGGAAAACCATTAAATTAACAGTACCCGAAACGTCCATCACACCACAAAATGACACAGACCAACCACCCCTCTTCTCCCTGTGCAACTGCTTTAAAACTAAGTTACCTTAATTCCTGCAGCAGAAGAACCAGGGTCACCCTGATACAAAATCCACAAGAAATAATCACACATTACATATACAGTTTGTGAGGGAACAAATATAACAAAACTTGCTATGATTCTATAGCAAGGCTATATAACAAAATAACTACATAACAAGATTACCTGTTCTCTGTGCTGCTACAAAGAAATTTACCCAATGAATTAAATCAATGTGATGCACAAAAGGAATAGTGTTGCTTTCAAGAACAGCAGAGAGATTTAATTTTGCTCATCCAAACAGCATAGTAGTTAGCCTCAAATTTCACAACTAAAAATGTAGATGCAATAATTACAGATTTTGTATAAATGCACTTCATAAAGCCAGATGATGAGACATACTTTGACATCTCCAAATTGCTGATATAGATTAAAACTAATTTACTGCCATTTACAAAGAATATGAGCAATCTTTTTGACCTTATTCTACAGATGGCAAGTTTCAGGTCTCAACCGAAAAACCTTTTTGTGCAAGGTTAGCCTGGAAAAAAACACCCCAGTGACCTATGTGTTTATCTCCATCAGGACAGCTAATAGCTCTATTTCCACAGCTCTTCAGCGTATTTAAATTGATAGTTTAATGCAGTTAAGGGTTATACTTTACAGGATGAGAGAGCTTTAGTAATTTATGTATTCAGAAAGGTCTCTTTTCTGAGGAGGCATCTAGTATTTAAAAAGATGTGCCTACATTTTGCTGGGTGGATTTGATAGGCAGTGAGATGCACAAGGGCAGAGGATCAGTGAGTGACATGGTCAAGGAAGCTTTTAGCTCCTAGTTTTGTACAATTGTCCCAGGATCCTTAAAATTCTTGTATACTCACTTCGTTCCTTTTTTTTTTTTTAAATGACGTGCCAAACAAAAATGAAAAAAAACGACTAAATTACTGAAAAGTTTGCTAGTCAAACTACATGCTGTAGAAGATGGCTTGAGTGCTTTTTTTTGAAGAACTCTCTCATTAATCATTATTAAAAATCAATTTTGATTGCTACACAGTAGCAACTTCAACCTCCCCAACAGCCTGGTAGTGATTTACATAGGCATCATAGAAGCCAGTACTGTAATCCACTTCGAAGACGTTTAAGCAGAGCGTAGATGTTTATTATTCTTTGCATTAAAATACAAACAGGGGATACCCATTTGTGATGATCTGGTGAAGCTGGAGAAAGTATTCTGTGAATGTCCTAGCTTTCAAGTTGGTTTGGGTATGGGGTCTTTTTGGGAAATAGTCTCCTAAAATGAAATGGTACCAGATAACATTCTCGCTGCTCTTTAAACAACAGCAATAGACTTTCTCTACACAGTTACTGCAGCTCACTCTTATGTGAAGAAAAAAACAAAAATCAGTTTTATGAAGGGTTGATTCATGTCCAGAAACCTGAGCTGCCTCATTTTGATAGACATGCATGAGTGATACTGCTGATACCCCTTACAAGCATGTACAACTGCAAAGCCTCGAGGACTTTTTATAGCTATAAAGTGGCAAAGCAACTGGTAAGAGGCATTCACCAGTTAAACATTTTAAAGGATAATGATGAATGTGAGGAAGATAAGACACAAAGTATTTATAATCCACCTTCATGCAAGAATGAAAATTAATATGGGATTAAATAAAAAATTATGGTACAGCATGTTCTCAGTTCTCTGATGAGTCAGTTTGAAAATGAAGAAACTTTAGCAGGGGAACATGCCCACATAAGCAAGATACTTGGTAGTTTCTAGGGACCAAGGCTACAGTAGAAGAGTAGAAGCAAGAACTCAAATCTGGCATTGACACTGCCTTCAAAGTAGGACAATTAAACAAAGGTGGTTTCTTTCTGATGCCACAGGTCAAAAAGTAGGCACCTAAGTCCATGTTTCTGAGAGCCACCAGGTACAAAAGCTCAGAAAACAAAGCTACATTAATGGCACAAACAGGACCCGTTCCTAAACCAAGTCTGAAACTGTTGTTGCCTGATCTCTCTCACCATATAGATGAAAATTTAGTATTTATCTCACAGAAACAGAATTCGAGCTTTTAAAGAAATGTTTTTTAAGTTCTGTGAACTATGAAGTAAATCTCTTAAGCATATGTGTAGCATTATGATCTGCTGCAATGCTCTCTGCACTCATTTACATAAAAAAGCAGGAAGGGTTTGTACGTGTATGTGGTTGAATGCCAGAGAACTGAATGGATACCAGTATTATCTCACCTCTGAACAATCCTTCCAGCAGCTCTCCTGAAAACAGTCTTTAAAAACTGAGCCTTACTAAATCTTACACTCGTCCCCACAAGTGTTCAGCTGGCAAAAAACTTTCAAGTACTCATCTGATAGTGAAGCTCCATAACGTGACACATGCCCCAAACTTTTCAGAGCTACCCAAATAGAAGGCACAGGTCGTGTAGCAGGGAAAAACTATCACAGAAGATACGTATAAGCATAGTGCATCAATAAGACTGGCTGTTAAATTTGCTGGAGCTTGATTTCATCTGCTTCTTTTAAGACAACAGATGTAGGGGTTTTTTTATATTAATCTCCTAGCCAAGAGAGAGCACCCAGTGGAAAACATAGAAGGCATGCTATTGAGCTACTTTGAAATCCTGCATTATAGCAGGGATTACAGTCAAGGTAAGTTTAAATGCCTCCTCAAGGTAATCATGACACCAGTAGAGAAACTGCAGACGCAATACAGAAAAAACCACAAATGAATAAATATAGAAAAAAAAAAAAAAGTCAAGGCTACTCTGTGAAATTGTTAATTAAATGTGTCTGTAATAGTAATTCTGATTATTCTAACACTTAATATGATTAGTGATTGCTGGGCAGATTCATCCTGGAATCATACAGTAAAAACTTCCCCCTAAGCTGAAGAGAAGGACAGAATACAATCCTTGTTAAGTACTACAAATGTAATGTAATGACACCAAGTTTAATGCTCACTCCTAAATTATCAGTCAAAAAACACCCTCCTAAGTTCCCTACAAAGTGCTGTTTAAATGTAATGTAATGACACCAAGTTTAATGCTTGCTCCTAAATTATCAAGTCAAAAAACACCCTCCTAAGCTCCCTACAAAGCGCTGTTTGCAGAACTATCTACCAGAAACTTTCAGCTGCAGCTTTCCTGTAAGATCTAGATCTTTTTTTCTGGGTAGCAGACTGTCTTGCAGGCAGGGAAAATAGAAAAAAAAATGAAAGTCAACTAAGTTGCTCACTCTATCGTCTTGCAGGCAGGGAAAATAGAAAAAAAAAATTGAAGTCAACTAAGTCACAGTTCTGCTCACTCTATTGTACAAATTCATGCGGTGTATTCTAGTCTGTTTCAGTTAAAGCAAGGCACTCCACACATAAAGCATGTATTCCCATGTCACCACCTCACCTCTGAAATTTATATGAAACTTAAAAGAGATGGGAGACTTCTGTGTCAAAAAGTTCAACGAGTCTATTGGAATTTCTTCACATACAGTAGTATAAGAAGTTTTCCAGTGACCTATATTTTCCACAAGTTTCTCCCAACTAGACTGCCAAACAGCTGAAAGCTCCCACAGAAATATTTAAAACTGGGGAGAAAGGATTTACCACTGAAAGAGGGAGAGACCTTTTTCTTTCCTTAAACAAGATGCCAAGCAGGGCGATGTGCGCTCTGCAGACCACAGCGCAGGACGGGCATTTCAGTGGGTGCAAACTCCCTCTCACAGCTGACAAAGTAGAGAAGCAACAAGTGAAGCTACACTAGGCCACCCAGAGAGACTATTAACTTCATGTTTACTGTTGTTCAACTAGATAGTTGTGCAACAAATCTCATACTTGCTAAGAAATTATATTTTTTAATCACATAGAAGTGGTTCAAGATGATCTTACTAGCATACGCTGTAAGTAATTAAATAAGGTTCTTAAGACTTTCATCTGGGTTAATGAGCATGACCACAGATGAAGTATTATTTAAATGAACTCTGGGAATCAAATTACTTTATATTCTTAACTCTAATGTCTATTTTTATTTGCTGATTTTAGCATATGCCCCATAAAATCATTGTGTTCTTGAAAGCACAGCTTTACTGTATCCAAATGATATGACCTGAAAGATTTGCATGCATTCTTTATCAGCTTGATAAATCCATCAGAAATTTCTCCTTGCACTAAACCGGTGTGAGGTGGTTAAGCAATCACACACATAAGGGTACAAGAAGAAATTTTTATTCTTCTGCCCAAGTGTAGTCACTAAAATGAATGTTTTTAGAAGCATATGAATTCCAAAGTGATGGCCAGAAGAGATCATTATGACTGATCCTTCTTCCTGTGCAGCACAGCCTTTGTTCTGACTGCTAAAGATTATGACTTGTATAAGTAAAGCACATTTAAAAATTCAGGTTTTTTTCTTTTTTGGCAGTGATACAGCATGAGTCTCAAATAAAATAAATCAAAACTCAGTAAAATAAAATTTTGACAACGTCTACTCCTTAGTGACTTCTACCACACATCGGTACTTTGCAACAATGAACAGACAAGGTATTAAGTGAGGTTATCACTGATGTCATCTGGCAAAAGATATTTAAAGTGCAGTTTTTACCTTCAGCTCTCAATTGTCCAGCTGGCAACTTGGAGAGAAGTTACCTATCATGATACCATACTTTTTGTCCCATATTGGTTTGGTTCCTCTCTTTGAGAGGAACAGAGAAGGGAAAACATAAAAGGATATACCAGAAATGGCCATAACTCAGCAGCCCCAGTTCCAATAGTCTGGCAGGATGTGACCAAAGTTTCTGTATGATGCAAATTTCAGCAGAGTGCTAATTAGAGACATGCTGATGTATCCTGTACTAAAGCTGCTGCTGTATAAAGTTAGAAATTTTATGCTTAATTGGAAAGAAGAGCGACATTTTTTCTGCTGTTCATAAAAATGAATTCAGTCAAATCACCCAGCATTTAAAAAAAAGTTTAAAATGCATTCTTCTTTTGATCAAATGATTATATTCATTAGCTGGTTGTACTGTAAGCATGCCTAAAGCATACATTTTCTCTACCAATAAGTAGTGTACCTTTTCTCCTGTGTCACCCTTTGGTCCATTTTCTCCAGCATCACCCTATAATTAAAATACATATTATATTTTAGTGATTTTATGTGAGCACACAGCATGCAGAGAAGAATCAGCATTCCAACATGATTAGCAAGCTAATTTTTTTAATCAGGTAGTCAACCTCTCTATGACATGGCCAGGAAGTACAGTTTATATAGCTATGTCTGTTGATTGATTAAGTCTGAGAAGATTACAGTCTTCACTACAACCGTAATCCCTTTCACAGGTCCTCAAAAAACCCACAAACTATCAAATAACTATCTTCCTGTAGGTATAGTCTACAGACTTCCCCAATTCGCTGTGGTTTGGCAATGAAGGAATGATTTCATGGTGATTCAGCATTTTAAATAGCCCGTATGTGTATTTTTTTCCAACAGAGACATTAATCTAAATGCATCTAATCAAATTCAGGTGACAGTTGCACAATTCCAATATGTTTTATTAGGATTCTCAAGTAATTTATGGTATACACTCTCTGAATCTGAAGTCCTTCATGAAGGCTTCATGAACTAGAAAAATTTCACTGAATGCCACCCCTCCAAGGAGCTACCAGAATTACTATTATCTCTGAATAAATTCTGTGCATTGTTCATTGTTAAAATAAGTGATGTTCAGATAACTTTTTCATGGCTGGATAGACACCTTCTATTTTAAAAACAGCTTTGTAAAGAAATATTTCAAAAGATTTATCTATAAAAAAACCGAATTTCCATGTATATTAATACAGCCTTATAGTAAGTCCAGGCTACACCATAAAGTCTTCATTATAGATGAGACTGCAGGCCAAAAATTTCTGTGGGACTTGAGACTCATGTAAAGCGTGAGAAATATTTAAAATGCCAAAAGTATTGATAAATGTTGAGTCTAAAGAGGCTAAAGAACTTTCTAGTAGGTCTTGGTCAGATAATCACAGCAGTAATCAAGTAACAATACGCAGCTTCTGTCATATTGCTCTGAAAACCTTAATGTAAAATTCCACTCAGAGGACTTCCAGCAGAGATCATTTTCTATACCACACTCACTGACACTATCGATGGGAACCAGCTAACAATCCAGCAGCACTTTCATTAAAGGCTTGAAGAAACATGGAAACGTGAAACAGCAACTGTTAGGAATGTTATTTCAAGCTCTTTTGAGACGATAAAGCATATTGAGGGCATTTCTAATTACATTTTTTAGGAAAAGACAAAGGTTGATTATGAAAAAACATAATGATTTTAAGTAATGGAAATTTAGCGTATGTTAATATTTTTGGTTATTCTTTTTGTGTCTGAAAACAAACAAACAACTACTGAAGTTCTCCAACAAATATAATTTTAACTGAAGTAATGATTTAATGAAAAGAGATCCCCAATTACATACTTCTACACAGAGGGTATGCGCTTTCAAGATTCCCCTGGACTATTTTTATGATGTGCTTTTGAAAATGTGACATGAATTGCCTTTGCAAAGCACGCTTGCAGCTGCTATTACATGGATTTACACAGATCTGGGAGTGAAATTCAATTGCAACTGCAAAGACATGTGCAAATTGCACTTGAATTAAGCACCTTACTTTTTAAAAACATATCTCAGTGTACTCACAGAAGATGAATCTACGTACAGATTCCTACTCAAAATAAGGCTTACACCATTTCTCAAACTTTGTGGTAGGACTCGATGATCTCAAAGGTCCCTTCCAGCCATGAAGATTCTGTGATTCTGCCCTTGTACAGATGCAGAAGCTTGACTCTCACTCAGTGTGTACTCTAATATGGATGCTTCTACTGGCCACTCTCCCTAGAAGAGCAGAATTACACCCAGGTTTTGCCGTGTGGTGCTCGTTCTGCCCCCTCAGCTTGGCATGGCTGTAGATATCAGAGAAGTAACTCCTCACTAACTCACTGCAAATCTGAGCACTGTTAGTGTACCATTTGTGCTGCTGGGACCTCTCCCGACAGTCTATAGCCTAAGATCATCGAGGCAAATTCTCTTGCTCCTACTCAAAATGACCCAAGCAAGAACACAGGACTAGACTTCTAGTATGCAGAGAATGGTTATCCATTTATCATTTAGAGTCAATGAATTTATCAGTCTGTTAACCCAATTGTTTTACATTACACAGGTGACAGAGCACTGAGATCAAGTTATGAGAAGTGTGTGCATCTTTCCTTTACTCAGATGGGCTCATCTTTTTTCTGAGTCTAATCACAGTTAGGATTAGTTGCCCAGTTGCTCAACTGTGCAGCCTTTAATATGTGACCACTGCTCTCTGTGACTAATTCCACTGCAGTAATCACAGATCAGTAACTTCCATTAGTAGGTATTATTTGACACTAGTAAAGGCTGCACAATGCTGCTCAAGTTCTAGGGAGTAGCTGCGTTTATTTCTTTTTAAACTCTGAATCAGTGCACCAGCAATTCTCCAAAAAAACCACCACAAAGGAAGTGAAACATGTCTCACCTTTTCTCCTCTTTCTCCAGGGTCACCCTGATGAAAACAATTGGAGCAAAGAAGTTGTAAGTTACTAACACAAGCAAAAATCAAAGCGTTAGTATTACTATCATTAGTATGTCAACTACTAACAATTATGTCAGTACCGACGACGTCGTCTCAGATGATAAAATGCAATACAAAAATCTTCAAAAAGCAATAAAATACTGTAAATTTAATGGAACTCAACAGACAGTATATCTTCAACATGATTTTAAAAGCTTAATAATTTGCATAATAATTTCCCACCCCCCACCTCACCATTTTGTCCTAGATTAAATCCTGATGAACGGGCATATGCCTTTGTGAAGTGGGCTGCCAGGACCTAAGTGACCCCTACATTTGGTTGTCCTTATTTTGGGAACAAATGAAAGAAAAATCCAAAGGCTAAAGCGAGGGGAGTTTTATGATTCTGTTAATGGCTTAGAAGGCTCCTCAGAAGAGACAAAAAGCCTTAAGTGTCTTGAACTAATTCATAATTGATTCAGAGTAAAGAGCCTTTGGTGCTCCTTACATTCTCTGTAACAAAAAGACAGGGTATAGCCATTATTTTTTAAAATTATTTCTTGCTTGAGAAGCTAGCTCAATGGCCACTGCACTTTTGCACACCAGCCTGACCTTGACAACTTATCTCTGCATTTCTGGCTCAGAATTGCACTCTGGCTCATCTTTGCCCCTTCTGATGGCTGGCAGTCGCTAGGCAACTCAAAGACTACAGCTGTGAATATGAATTAAGCATCAACTGCCATAATTTGGTTTCTTCTGTATACAAAGTAAGAAAAGGTCATGCTCCCAAATGGTTTGTTTTCATTCCTGATGGACAAGCAGCCAGTCAGTAAATGTAAAAAGCCTGCCCTGCGTGTCTGTCAGCAGCAGCGTGATGCCCAGAATCAGCTGAGGAGCACATGTGCACCAAAGATGCACGCTCACAGCTGATGGGATTAGAATTTAGCATTACCCATTCCAAGAGGCCCACAGATCCCATCACCTCAAACATGTTGAGCTTTCTTTTACATGAAGTTATCATAAGCTTAATGTTCTCTTTCACTTGTTCAATATTAGACTAGCAGAAAAAAATATTTGACAATAAAATAAGTGCAAAGAGATGTTCAAATGTACCAAACACAGACCGACACATGCTCCTAATGAAGCTTGTTGCTAACTTCCACAATAGCAGGATCAGCCCTCAAGACTTAACCCTGACATTCATCAAAGAACGGACCACAGTAGTTCTTGAAAAGAAGCCTGAAACACATTGTAAGGAGGATAAACAAATCCTTTCTAAAAAAGATCCCCAAATTCCCAAACACTAGCAGGCACATCGCATTCACTTGGCAGGGGATGTGTATGTGTCAGTGCCACTGACTGGAATTACACATGCACAGCAGAAGAATACACTTCTTTATGGTGAAACGTGTAAAGCATCTTACAGCACCGATCACTGGAGGGGGCAGATCATTAAAAGCCAGGCAGAATATAAACTCACATACTGTGTGCTTCTCTTTTTAATCCATTTTCAATACCAACCTTAAGCCCTGCTGCTCCCTTCTCTCCTGCTATGCCAGGCAAACCAGGCTCACCCTAAAGGCAAAGAAAACAAAAGATGGGGTTAAACAAGGTTAAGAATATTAACAGCATCTCACGGACTGTCTCACATTGGGTAAGTAATGATAAACAACATTTAAAAAGATTCTGTGAATATGTACTCCACAGCTGGGCACTAAAATGCCTTCTTTCATCAGTTAGGGTGGATTAATTCTAATTAACTCCTGTATAGATAAGAAATAATTCTATTGAAGGCAGTGGAAATACACGGGTGGCAAACTAAACAGAAAACAAAGCTGCAACCTCTGATTCTGAAAAGCTGGCCAATTAACCTTAAGAGCATAGTCTTCCCAGCAAGGCTGCCAATGCTTTCCTCTTCTCTACAACTTAGAAACATTGCAAGAAAAGCTTATTCTAAATGATTTTGACATTTGTGCTTCTGGTCTCATATGGAAGGCGGATAATGAAGAAAAATCAGAAGGGCCCATTCCAGAAATGGAAGAGTTGAGAGAAAAAGGCAGCTTTTTCATTTTTTAAATATACCTTACTTGTCCATTGTTCATACTCTTATACAACTGGCTGAAAAGTAGAATTAAAAGATTTAAAAATTTTCATTATTACATCAATGATCCACATTTTGGGTATGTCTAATGGATGGCATAATTTCTTCCACAGTTCAAGGAGTCATAAATCAATCAACAAATAACAATTATTTACAAACTCCTTTTCTTCCCCCAAATTTAAAAACAAAAAACCCAATCAAAAGAATCCAATCCCCAAACAAACCCTTAGAGACATTTCCTAGTGTTTATTTCCCAGATTCATGAAAAAGCCACAGATATTATTTATTTTAGGTAAAATGCTAAAGCAACGGTTAGACTTTATTGTAAATTGGGAGTAATAGTAAATTGTTTATTGGGAGTTGGACTAGATGATCTCTATGGTCCCTTCCAACTCTAAAAATTCAGTGAAATTCAGTAAAACATCAAGGGGTGATGGCTAATTATATAAAACCTTCTGCAGAAGTATGCCTCGGTTTCACAATACCTGTCATTTTTGGTAACCCTCACGTACACAACCGCATTGCACTTCTAGGGTGGCAAGGCTTGTTAAAATAACATCCAAAAAAAGACTTGAAAAAGCCTAGGGTCTTCTATAAGCCCTTTGCTATGGAAATGTATAAAAACATGTGAAGGTTAAATGCAATAACATGGTAATCAAACTAGAAACAGTAATTCATATCAGAAACTCAGTGGACAATTTTCATACAGTATTCAAACTTAGTAGACATGATGAACCAACCCTGTACTCAAAAGTTACAGCTAATTTAATTTAAAGGCTTGTTCCAACTGCAACAACACATATCTTCAAACCTCCATAAAAGCCTTCCATTAAGAAAAGGCTTTTCTCCTTCTTACTTTCACAGTCTGATTTTAATCACAGATACATAAACTCAGATTCTCCATGAAAGAAGGATCTGTTCTACCATTCTCTTTCTAAATTAGGTAACAGGATCATCAATTACATTCTAATTTCATCAAGAGTTGGACTAGTTCAAAATATAAAACAAAACCAACGAGGTTCTAGTGAAACTCTACTGAGGGCATTTTCCAAAGCAGGGAAAAAGCATTTAGGTACCGTTAAACTCACAGGGAATCAAACAGCCCTTTGAGTCAGCCCTTTTCAAGGCTCCTTGGTACTACAAAAGCTCTAAGGGCTGATACAGTAGGACAGGCATTTGATATAGGAGTGGTCAGGATTTGAAGCTGTTGGAGATTAGGTGTAAGTGTCCTAAAGGATTGACCTAACAGGTACTTGAAGAAAACTGCCAGCTGACGAAACGAAACAGACGGGACCAATGAATATGCACTTGTTTCTCCTCATCTCCACACCCCAAACAAGTTTGTTTCTGTCCCCTTCACTTTAAAACAGCTGCTGTTGGCTGACACTTTCGGAGGCTTAAATCTCCAATCAAAGCTTTGAATTCCCAACTTGCACTTTCCTCCCAGGTTTACACTTCGGTGCTATGAATATGGAGACCTACTACTGTGACACAAAGGTGACTGCAAAAATGGGACAAAATAATTATCTTACTTTCTTTGGAAAAAAATGAAAACCTCAGGCTATCACCTAGTCATAGTAAATCCCTATTCATACCAACAGTCTTATTTCTGACCTATATGCAAGGTTCCTATGGCCACCACTACACATCTGGCAATCCAAGTAATAGTCAGAGGCATTAGCACAGCAGGAATTAGCTCTGGGAGTGGGAAAGATTGAAAGCAAACCTAGAAGGGCAGCACAGAAATGACCTTGTGGCTTCATACTCCTGAAGCAATTATCCTTCTCTTTTTAATGACCAGAAGAGCAGGGGCTAAAATAATTTTCTGTCATACAGTATTCTTTTCCCTATTTTAGAACCCTATTGTCTTGTCTGTACAGGGAATCAGGGAGTAATAAGATGAAATAAAAATGTTCAGCACATAAACTACTCTATAACCTACCCCTGGTGAACATTCCCAGTGCACAGCAAAACAAGCTTTGTGCCAGGAAGCCTCCCTTTTTCACACTGCATGTCTTGTAGGCATGGCAGTCTGGCTTTAAGCGTAGAGATTTTAACAATTCCATTAAAGCCTACCATAAAAAAACCCAAACAAACAACAACAAAACTCACACAAAAACCCCAGTGTTTTTCCCCACCCCAAATCAAACCCCCCCAAAAAGAGCAAAGCCTTGACCACCCATCAGCTAGGAAATTCCAAAAGTAGGTATGAAGCAAAATGGCAGTTAACATTTGGAAGGTGAGCGGATTGATAGCTCTTCCCTTGCTATGCACTAAAATACTGTGTTATTTTAGGAATATTGGTCCCCAACGGCCATTTTGATTCTTGGCATGAAAATACTTCAAAGTACTTCTGTTAGGAAGTATCCTTAATTACTTTCCTTCCATTTCAATACTCTTATTTATTTATTTATCAAAGCATTAATTAAAACTGGAGTGCAAAATGCTGTATAGATATGCTTCAGCTCCTCAGGTTAGTGTTTTGGAGATGAACAAAAGATATAGATGCCCTTTAAAAGGCTGAAGACAGTTACACTCCTGGAGTGATGCATGCAAAGGAAAACTAGACATTCAGTAATGTCATCTGATGCAATTTCAATCAGACTGCTTTTCAACTCGGTAAAATGAAAGAAGTTATAAAACTAGATACTTAGTCTCACATATTTTTTACATTCACCAGGCCATGGCTAATGTCTTTCCTGACTCATATTGCAGTCTCTCTCTAATAGCGCTGACAGCAAAAGTATTAGGCTGCAGAAACAATTGTCTTCTGCACATCATCTAGCTTTCAAATCAAGACAGCACAGTTTTGGTTTTTTTTCTTTCACAGAATGGTTGAGGTTGGAAGGCGTCTCTGGAGATCATCTGGTCCAACTCTCCCTGGTCAAGCAGGGTCACCAAAAGCTGCATACCCAGGACCACGTCCAGATGGCTTTTAAATACCTCTAAGGGTATCTCCAAGGATACCTACAGCCTCCCTGGGCAACCTGTGCCAGCGCTCAGTCTCCCTCACAGTAAAAAAGGTGTTTCCTGCTGTTCAGAGGGAACTTCCTGTGTTTCAGTTCGCTTCTGGTCCTGTCACTGGCCACCACTGAAAAGCACTTGGCCCATCATCCCTGCACCTTCCCTTCAGGTGTTTGACCACGTTGATGAGATTTCCCCCAAGCCTTCTCTAGACTGAACAGCCTCAGCTCTCCCAGTCTTTCCTCATAGCAGAGACGCTCCAGTCCTTGTTCATCTTTGAGAACCTTCACTGGACTCTCTCCAGTATGTTCATGTCTCTCTTGTACTGAGGAGCCCACAACCAGACACAGTACCCCAAGAGTGGCCTCACTAGTGTTTTTTGCCATTTAAAGAGTACCTTTGTCTGTAGTACATCTGATTTTAGGTCACAGCCTGCCTTTCTGCAGTCATGAACTCCTGCTAAATCACCATTCAGGGACAGAATGACTGGAATCAGCAATCCACACTTCACTGGACTCTCTCCAGTATGTTCATGTCTCTCTTGTACTGAGGAGCCCACAACCAGACACAGTACCCCAAGAGTGGCCTCACTAGTGTTTTTTGCCATTTAAAGAGTACCTTTGTCTGTAGTACATCTGATTTTAGGTCACAGCCTGCCTTTCTGCAGTCATGAACTCCTGCTAAATCACCATTCAGGGACAGAATGAATGGAATCAGCAATCCACAACATGATCTAAAACCTCCTAGTGCCTATGGAAAACACAATCCTTGATCCCAATTAAAATTATGATGAGGGCCACACTGCACCCTCACACAAGAAAAAGATGTAATGCCCAGAGAAAATGTGTGAAGCCACCCTCAGAGCTTGGAACCTTTCCCTGAAAGAGATGGACTGTGGGGAGGTGTGAAATGTCTCAGTTTAGAGGAATTGTCACTAGTCCTTCCGCCCTTCTTCTGCATTCTTATTCTCAGCTAGACCACACCATGGAAGCTGTGCTGTTAGCAATGAACACCATATGGGACAACCATGATAGACTATAACAAAAAAAAAAATTCTCCCTGCTGGCATTGAGATGAGTATACTGTTTACCAAGATTTTGCTGTACTTGTAAAAGTAACAAAACGACCAGATGCACAAATTTCATGCCCCAAACAGGTAAACCTGCAAATACTGCATCAGAAATACTATTTAGATAGCCCTTAACTTCTTTTTCATATGGTTTCTCTTGCCTTTGAGTAACTGGACCAACCTCAGAAGAGGATTCTGTTTTCATGACATGATCCACTGCATAAATAGACTAGAAATTATTAGAAAATGCAAGAAAAGCTGTCTTTTCCCAGATTTCATGTAAAAATTATGTAGCATTAGAAAGTAATTCTTTAGCCTCTTGTCTGCTGCAGAAAAGGACAATGCCATTAGAAGATCTGTAAGCACTTAAGTAATTTATCCATCACTAGCATCGAAACTTATTTAGATGCAGTTTGCTGAATTCACAAATGGTCTCAGAAT